CACAAAATGGCCGAGTATCAGAGGTGATCTAATTATTTTTTCACAGAAAACTTTGAAATTTAGGGAGAAAAATCCGTAATTTTTTTTTTCTCAATTAGAGTTGGTTTTCGATTCAAGGTACTCTCATACTTAATTTCACCCACCATGAGGCGTACCGGGAGTTCCCCTATAAAAGATGTTTTTCCATGTTTACACAAAGTGGCCGTGGATAAACAATGGTTAACCAAATTTTTGCGGATTAAACTATTTCTCTTCCGTGCAGGTTTTGCCTACCTGTTTTCCAGTTGCAAACAATTTTATCACCTTGCTCATTGTGAAGTTTTTTATTTATCGAGGTGTTTCATTTTGTGGGGGCTTTTTGTGGGTGATTTTCCGTAATTTGTGGAGGCTTTTTTGTGAGGGCTTAATTATCCTTCAATAATTAACCAAAAACTGAAATTTGAGCTAAATAAAATAAAACTGTAATAACTAAAGGAACTTGATTTTTGGCAGTTGTTAATTTATCGAAAATTAACAATTATTCAAAAGGCTCGTACAAAATTACGGCATATTGGTGCTCTTGGTGGTTTTTTTTCTCAAGACAGTTTCGAGTTTTACTAGCCATTTTTGAGGGATTTTTTATATATCATTCGAAAACAACTATTACTGTGTTGAGCTTAAATTGGAAAAGTTTTTCCCCTGTGATCATTTTTTGTAAAATTGTGGGGGCTTACAGTGTGCCATTTTGGCCAATTTGGTACATTTAACGCGCGATATATTTTGCGCTAGTAACGCGTATGCGATGTTTAGTCCGACTTAAGAAATTGTTTCATATTGGTTCAAGGAAGCTTATATGCCATAATTGATTTGTTATTAGGAGCGAAATCTATCAATTTCTACTTGTTATGACGTGTGGGGGAATGTTTTCACAAAATAGGCGAGTATCAGAGGTGATCTAATTATTTCTTCACCAAAAAACTCTGAAATTTAGGGAGAAAAATCCGTAATTTTTTCTCTCTCTACTAGAGTTAGTTTACGATTCAAGGTAATCTCATACTCAATTTCACCGACTATGAGGCGTACCGGGAGTTCCCCTGTAAAAGATGTTTTTCCATGCTTTCTCAAATTGACCGTGGATAAACAATGATGGTTAACCAAAGTTTTGCGTATGGAACTATTTCTCTTCCTTTCAAAGTTTCTCTACCTGTTTTATAGTTGCAAATAATTTTATCACCCTGCTCATTGTGAAGTTTTTTAATTATCGAGGTGTGTTTAATACAATAATCAACAAAAACTGAAGTTTAAGCTCAATAAAAAAAACTGTAAAAACAAAAGGTTCTTGATTTTCGGCAGTTGTTTTTTTTATCGAAACTTTTCGAAACTTGTTGAAACTTAACAATTATTCAAACGGCTCGTACAAAAATACGGCATATCGGAGCTCTTGGTGGTTTTTTTTTCAGAAGACAATTTCGACTATTACTAGCCATTTTTGACGGAATTTTTAGATATCATTCGAAAACTATTATTGTCTTGAGCTTAAATTGGAAAAAGTTTTTCCCCTGTGATCTTTGTTTGTAAAGTTATGGGGGCTTAAAGTGTGCCATTTTGGCCAATTTGGGACCTTTAACGCGCGATAAATTTCGCGCTAGTAACTCGTATGCGATATTTAGTGCGACTTAAGAAATCGATCCATATTGGTTCGAGGAAGCTTATATGCCATAATTGATTTGTTGATAGGAGCAAATTCTATCTCTTTCTTCTTAATATAACGTGTGGGGGGATGTTTTCACAAAAAATCTCAAATTTTTTTTTTAAATTTAGGTTAATACAATTAAATTTAAAGGTTATTATAGCTCCATAGATTTTAAAGGCAAAGGGAACACTCAGGGATACGAGAAGATACGAGAAGTCTTGTTGAAATTATTCTCGTGACGGTGTACTTGATTCTTTCCGCCACAACTCATGTAAATCACAAAGAGATTTATTACGCATCTACCTACAATTTATCATAACCATTTAGCGTTCTGCCAGAACGTAACGAGGCCAAAATGTGAAACACAACTTAGTGTCGGTGCTTTTAAATCACTGGAAGCCAGCAAAAAGTCTAAATTATGTTTTAAAACATAAGTGGATTCCACTTACAAAAATTTGCTGAACTCCAAAATCATTTTTTGTAACGTAAAATTTGTCGGCACATTAGTGTTTTTGCTTATTCCGCAATGAGCTAATATAGCTACTTACATTTTGCGGAAATAACGTTTTGCATTTTCCGCTTACACTTTGCGGATTCCGCTGACAATTTGCGGATTCTGCTTACAGCTGCGGATTCCTTGACTGCGTAATTTTACCATACACTTCAAGTATTAATTGGTTCTGGATTCTGCAAATGTCTTGCAGATTCCGCAGATTTGCCTGTTTTTGTAGCAATTTTGAGTAATACAGTGTTTTAGCTATTTATTTTTTCAGAAATTTTGAGTAATACATTGTTTTAGCTATTTGTTTTTGCATCCAAAATATAGAAGAAAATTTTTTAAAAAACTAGCAATGCACAAGATTCTGCGACAAGTCTTTTTTTTTAGCCAGTGCAAAATACACAGTTTCGACCTTTAAGGTTGCTTTCTGATTTTTTTTTCACCAAAGTTCGCTCGAAACCGATAAAAGTACGGTTGAGTCATTAAAAACTTTGCCCTGAATGGAGCGATTGTGTTACTTTTTTGCTGTATATAATTATCTTTTTTAAAGATTTTTGAAATCAATACGTGTTTTTTGACTTTTCAATGCTAACAGGCCAGACACCATGTGACCTTTTCAAGTGTCCATTTACCCTGAAGTTTTCAGAAACCCTGCAGACGAGGAAACAAAAACCCTTTAATTTTTTTTCTTGAGCTCAAATATCTTGACAATTGCAACCACATAGCCGAAATAAAAAAACAGTTTCAATGAGCTAAACATTTTTCGACTACGCTGTTTTTCTATTGCTTGTAACGCTTCTTTGTCCTTTTTGGGTGCTCCTCCTCGCTGGAATTTGACAAGTCGAAACAACGCACCTCCGGGCTATCTCATCGAAACAAAATCAGATAAAAAGTTTTCAAACAAGCCACGATTTTAAAGGCAAGTTCTCTGCTCGTGGTTTTTTAGCAGATCAACTTTAACAGATAGGCAAAGTTCTGAAAATTGAATCAAGTTTTTGTGTATTTTTCTTGCTGGGTTCTTCATTTGAGTGCAACAATTTTCAGATATTTTTCTAATTTTTAATCGCTTTGTTTTTGTTTCGTACTTTCAAGTTTTTTTGCAATCTATTATTATTTTTCTCGTATTGTAATCTAAGCACTTTTCCGTTCACTCGATGAAATTTCAAGTCAGTGCTGAACAATAACTCTGTATATTTTCATTCACTTAAGCAAAGCACCTTTCTAAACGCCTTCATTCAACTGGGGGATCTTGTTTCGGATTTCCCCTTTGCCATCCCATAAATCCTTTCCAGAAAAATAGCTTCCACTCTAATCTGTCTGTAAAATCAATATTTAAGATCACTAAATCATCGTGTATTTGGTGCGTACAAGTAATCCCTAAAGCACAAACGAAAATGAAAGAGGATTTTTGCAACCATAAAACCGAAGGAATTAACAAATAGTCAATAAAAATAGGAAAAAGACTAGAGTTGAAACGGAGTGACTTTATGCAAGATAGAATCTGAATTTTTGTTATCTTTTCAACAGTTAATCTGCACTTAACAAAACTTGTTGAAGAGTCTTTTGATTTTGAAATGTCGTTTTTGAATTGACCACCTTTCAAAAAAAAGTCGATTCACCTCTGCGCCCTTTTAATCTCTTAAAAAATGTTGCTTTCATCGGTTATCAATTTCGGCGAGCGATCAAAGAAATAATTTCTTTCAAGCTGCCTAAATTGTGTTTTGAACATTCTCCAGGAACTTTTTTCAAATTTTTAGCGACACAGAATTTCATGCTGTCATTAAATATTCGATGAAACATTTAGAAATTTATTGTTTGCGGGAATAAATAATGCATCAGTAGGCAGAGAGTGTTTTACAGATGAAACGTAATGAGTCTAAGACTGCCGGCGATGCTTCAAAAAAATGGACCATAAGTGACAGTTTTCACTTCATAAATATACCATTATTTTGATGATTTCTTTTTAAAAAAAACTGTTGGTTACTTTTTGTGGCAATTTAAGAAAATTTTGACGGTTCGACTATACGCCCGAAGATTGAGATTTTAAGTTTGAGATTTCAAAATAGTCTGAGAGATTAAGTTTTATAATTTAATTATTGATTAACAAAAAAAGACTGATTAAATCGAATTTAGCTCCAATTTTTTTCAAATAGATTTAATTTTCTTTCGGTTAAATCCGTAAACAAAGCTCAAAAATTATTTCGAAGTAGAAAATGGTACAACTTTCAACCTGTTCGATTTTCGGGGATATTCCATAAAAATGCTCTCAAGTTTACCTTCTTATATTGACCTCTTAGACAGGCGCACTATAGCAATTTTTTCGGTGGAGGGTGCTAGTTTTGAACGTTGTTGCAAGTTCGCTAGAGGTTAATGGAATACGTCAAGTACATACCTATGCAATCTTATCCGCTTTCCCTCCTTCCTTTATGTCCTACTCACTTCAGGAACCGCTCACACAAACACTTCAATTTTATTCTATTGACTCAATTAAAAATTATCAAGAATCAAAATTATATTCAAAATAGTGTTTTGTATTTTTCTATTAAGCTTCTATTAGGAAAAACGAACATTTTTGTTTATAATTGTTTCCCTCAACCATATTGGAATGACAGAGCACCGTTGACTATGATTATTTCTTATAATAATCTCAAGTAAAACTTTGAACTGCACCAAAAGCACTGATTGAAAAAAGCAAATAGAACACCTTCAGGAGTTCGAAGAATCGCAAAAATTGAAAGCGATTTACCTCATTTGTAATTTATATGCTGGAAAATCTTACAATTTGGTCTAATCATGACGTGACGTCACAATCATCTGTTTTTTTTTCAGCAAACAGTCTACACGTATCAAGTCGGATCTGAGCCAATAGTGACAGACGACGAGTTCCAAGGAAGACTGAGCAGATATGGGAGTGAAC